AGGCTAATGAACTTGCTGCCAGCAGCAGCAGCAACAGCAGCAGCAACAGCAGCAGCAGCGAGGGGAGGTTTCGTTTAACAGCTGAGGACATGTCGCGGCTGCTGCTGCGGGTGGGGGTTTGCGTGGCAGCAGACTCGGTGCTGATGCAGCAGCTGCTGCTGCTGCTCGATGAAGCAGCAGAAGGTATCGTAGACCTGCAGCTGCTGCTGCTGCTGCTGAGCCGCCGCAGCGCCAAGGAGGAGCAGGCGCTGCTTGCTGCTGCTGCTGCACTTAATTCCTGCTGCTCGTGCATCGCTGCTGCTCCCCAGGGCCGCGAGAGACTGCGCACAGAGCTGTCTGCTGCAGCAGCAGCGGGAGTTGCTGCAGCACATCCAGCAGCAGCAGCAGCAACAGCAACAGCAGCAGCAACAGGACGCAGTCTAGAGCCTGACTTTGTCGTCTCTGTGTACGCGCTTCAGCACATCTTGAGCCGATTGCTACAAGAGCAGCAGCAGCAGCAGCAAAGACAGCAGCAGCAGCAGCATGCGGCGGTTTCAGCTTCAGCAGCACCACCAGATGCAGCAGCAGCAGCAGCAGCGCTAAGCCCTTCTCACCTGCGGCTTGCCTGTTTGCTGCTGTCGCTGCGCAGCCTGCAGCATATCGTCGTGGGTGATTCACAGGGAGAGAAGGCGCTGCTGCTGCAGCAGCTAATCGATGCAGCAGAAGCAGCAGAAGCTGCTGAACTTGAGGCCTCTGCAGCTGCTGCAGCCACAGCAGATGCAACAGCAGCAGCAGCAACAGCAGCCACATTGCAACAGCCTCCTACGTCTCCTAGCGCGCACTCAACGGCATTGGTCTGCTGCAGCGTTCTGCTGCAGCACGTTGAAGCAGCAGCAGCAGCAGCAGCAGGGGGTGCGTATAGCGCCTTCACGCGAAAAGGGACACCGCCTGCAGCAGCAACGGAACGGCGAGCTCCAGCAGCAGCAACAACAGCAGCAGCAGCAGCAGCAGCAAGTAGCAGCAGCCCACCCTTTTCAACTCCGTCTGATGCTGTTGCTGCAGCACGAGCCCGGCAAACTGCAGAGAAGGCAGAAGGTGCAGCAAGTGAACTGCTGCTTTTGTGGAAGCGTCAGCAGCAAAACAATCGGCAACAGCAGCAGCAGCAGCAGCAACAGCAGCATGAGATCCCCCCTGGGTGCTTGCTGGTGCTGCGGTGTCTGTACGTCCGCCTGCTGCTGGGCTCCATTGGCTGCAGCGACGTCGTGGCTGTGCTGCAGCAATACTTGCGCAGAGAGCAGCAGCCTGCTGCAGCAGCAGCAGCAGCGATGCCTCCGTTGCCGCTGCAGCTGCAAGGTATCGACAGCGTAGACACCGCATTGAGTGTATGGGCTGCTCTGGGCATCCCTACGCCTCCTGCTGCTGCAGAGGGGGCTCTTAGTTGGCTGCTTTCTTTTGTTTCCAGCAGCAGCAGCAGCAGCAGCAGCAGCAGCAGCAGTGGAGGCGCTTTGATGGAAGCAGCGCATGCAGCGTTTGCTGCTCTTCATATGCGCCGCCACAGTTTGCTGCTGTGGCTCGACGTGCCTTGTGGGCTTGCTGCAGCAGAAGCAGCAGTATTTGGTGCAGCAGCAGCAGCAGCAGCAGCAGCACCCACCGATACCCTGGGAGGGCTTCCTGTTGAGGGCCTTGAAGACTGCTTGTCTTCTTCCCGCTGCTACCGTCCGCTGCAGCAGCTGCTGCCTGTTGCTGCAGCAGATGCGCAGCTGGTTGCTGCAGGACCCTGCAGCAAACTTGGGGGGTTTTCGTCGACCTCAGATGATAGTGCTGCTGCTGCTGCTGCTGCTGCTGAATTGCTGCTGCACGAGCTGCAGCAGCGAGCCACCGCGTTCCGAGCAGCATTGCTGCAGCAGACGCGCGGGGGCCATGCTGCTCTAGCAGCAGCAGCAGAAGCAGCAGCAACAGCAGCAGGTTTACCTGCAGCGGAGGCTCTTACTAACGGTAGACCCATCCCAGAGGAGGCCCGTCGGTGGGTTGTGGCCGTGCAGCAGCAGCAGCAGCAGCAGCAGGAGCCTTGGCTAGTAACGAAAGGGTTGCTGCTGCCTGAAGAGTGGAGGCAGGCGCAGACTGCTGCACTTAGCCTCCCTCCCTTCGTGCTCTTTGCTGCTTTGCTTGCTGCCAACAAACAGCAGCAGCAGCAGCAACAGCAGCAGCAGCAGCAAGTGCAGCAGGAGTCGCTGCAGTTGACAACTGCACAGACAGCCCGAGGCCTCGAGACTGTCCTTGGCCTCCCCCCACACGTAAGAGCGGAGCAGCAGCAGCAGCAGCAGCGACAGCAGCAGCAACAGCAACAGCGTATAGATAAACAAGGCAGAGGAGTTTAATAAGTGGTGCTGCTGCTGGCTGCTGGTGAATGTGTGCGTTTGCTGCTGCATGCATGCGTTTGTGCTGCGCTGCAGCTAAGTGTATTGGTCGCGCTGCTGCTGGATATAAGAGGCGAAGACCTCATCAGCTACACGGACTTCAGAAGGCTGCCTTCTTACTTGCATGCAGCAGCACGTGCTGCTGCTGCTGCTGCTGGAGGTGCTGCTACAGCAGCAGGGGCGCGTGGAGCCTCGACGAGCAGCACCCCGTGGTGGCTGGAGGCGCTGCTGCAGGGACCAAGGCAGGCAACACAAACAGCAGCAGCAGCAGCAGCAGCAGCAACAGAACTCAGGGACGACTTGCTGCTGCTGCTTGCTGCAGCACGCATTCGTGGGGGCTTCAATAAAGCCCTCAGTGGTCTTAATATATACACTGCAGCAGGAATGCCTATTGCTGCTGCTGAGACAGACAAAGTAGGAGAGCACCTTCTGCTGCTGCTTCTGCTGCTGCTGCCACCGCTTCTATGTTCCTGCGTTTGCTCCTGTTGCTAGTGCTGTTGCTGCTGCTGCTGTTGCTGTTGCAGCCAATGCATGTGCGTACAGCTTTGCTTGTTGCTGCAGGTGCTGCTGCGTCTTGGTATGAGGCCCACAGCAGCTCGATCGCTACAGCTGCTGCTGCAGGCAGCAGCAATGAGCAGCAGCAGCAACAGCATCAGCAACAGCAGCAGCAGCAGCAACGGCCCATCTTTGTCAGTGCTGGAGCACTGGCTGCATGCAGCGCAGCAGCTGGCTCCTCTTGTGCTGCAAGATGTCTTCTGCTGTCTCTTCAACTCGCAGCCCTTCTCTCCTGCTGCTGCTGCTCCTCACGAGTCAGCCTCCCCCACAACTGCTGCTGCTGCTGCTGCTGCTGTCGCCTATTTCTGGTGCCTCACGTGTTGCTGCTGCTGCCATTTCTGCTGCTGCTCCTGCTGCTATGCTCTCTGCGGGTGTGGTGCTGCGCTCAATGCAAAGGGAGCGGTTGCTGCTGCTGCTTCTGACGTATGCTATATGCTCCTACATGCTGCTGCTGCTGCTGCTGCTGCTGCTGAATGCATGCAGGGAGGGAAGCTGGAGTGTATGGGAAGGGCAACGCGCTGCTGCTCTCATTGAAGCAGCGGGGCTCAGCGCGCTGGCGTCCCCGGCAGCAGCAGCACCTGCAACAGGTAGCAGCAGCAGCAGCAGCAGCAAAACTGAGGCGTCGCTGCTGGACCCTTGTAGGATCCGCAGCAGCTACAAAGCATTTCAGCAGCAGCACCACGAGCTGCTGCTGCTGCTACTGCGGTCTCTGCGCGCAAACAACATATCTATTGAGACATTCTGCTGCAGCCGTCTGCTGCAGCAGCAACTGCAGCAGCAGGGCGCTAATGCTGCACCACCGACGCCCGAAGCAGCTGCTGCTGCTCTCCTTAGGCGCATCAAATACCACGTTATCCCAACAGCAGCAGCAGCAGCAGCAGCAGCAGCAGATGTGTCGCGCTGGGTTTTTGTGGAAGAGTGCACTTTGCTGCTGCTGCCTACCCTCAGCAGCAACTGCAGCAGCAGCAGCAGCAGCGGCAGCAGCGCTGTGGGTGCTGTAAGTAGGTCCCTTCATTTGCTGTTTGACGCAGCAGATCCGAAGGCGAGAGGCAGTGTCTCTGCTGCTGCGCTGCAGCTGCTGCTGCAGGATGCTGAGCTGCTGCAGCTGCAGCGCGACAGCAAAGCCCTTGTTGCCTTAAGGCGGCTTGAGGCCCAGGAAGCCCAGCAGCAGCAGCAGCAACAGCAGCAGCAGCAGCTTGACGTAGCAGGCAGCGGCGGTATCTTCGAGCTCGCAGAGCTGTTGAACGAGGCCCCCTCCAACCAACAGCAGCAACAGCAGCAGCAGCAGCAGAGGCTAAGCGCAACAGCACTTCGGTCTCACCCGGCGCTGCAGCGGCTGCGAGAGAAGATGCTGCTGAGCAGCTGGACCTTCGCAGATCTGTGCATACACTTGGGCTGCAGCACCTCAGCAGCCCGCACGCTGACCTGCAGCAGCAGCAGCAGCAACAGCAGCAGCAGCAGCAAGGGGCTCTGTCTGTACAGAACGGCCTTCCGCAGAGCTGCTGCTGTTCGTGCTGCACTCGTCAGCAGCGCAGCAGCAGATGATTTGTTTGATCGCCTTGCGGTGGCTGAGGAGGCCCCCGTTCGCGTTGCAGCAAGGCGAAGCAGCAGCAGCAAGAAGCAGCAGCAGCAGCAGCGGGACCACTGGGCCCTCCCTCTGCTGCATGTACAAGACCTTCTAGCTGCTCTTGCTTCTTCAAAACAATTTTGGGGTGTCTGCAGCAGCGCTGCCTGTCGGGTTCTCTTCCTGTTGCTGCGGCAGCGCTTAGCTTCGATGCAGCAGCAGCAGCAACAGCAGCAGGAGCAGCAAGCTCTAGGGGGGGCCCCCCAAACAGAAGCGGAGCTGCTCGCGGACCTCCTTGCAGCAGCCGAGCATAACTTGAGAAGCAACCCGGAATATCAGCAGCAGCAAGCAGCAGCAGAGGCAGCAGCAGCAGCAGCAGCAGCAGCAGGTGGAGCGCAGGTGCTGGTGTCGCGCTTGGTGTTGCAGCACGCTGCAGCAAACCTTGCACAGGGCCTTCTTATTGCTGCCGACCTCGATGCCCTTGCGGACTGGTAAGGAATGCTGCCACTGCTGCTGTTGCTGCTGTTGCTGTTGCTGCTGCTGCTGCTGTTGTTGCTGTTTATTGCTGCAGCAGCAGCTATTGCTGCAGCTGAGATACAGTGCATCTTAGCTCTTCACGAGCCCTTGCTGCCTTCAAGCAGCAGCACCAGCTTCTGCTGCTTATGCCACTCCCGTTGCTGCTGCTGCTGCTGCTGCTGCTGCTGTGCAGGTGCGGGACTGACCAGGGTTTACCTGCTGAGGTGTGCGATGTCTCGCTGCTGTTCCGGGCAATGGAAGACGCAGCAACTCGCAGCAGCAGCAAAAACCGCCAGCTGCTGCAGTGTCTTGCCTCAGGGGCCCTTGCTGCTGCAGCCGCACAGGTCAGCAGCAGCATTCATCATTCTGCTGCGGTTGATGCTGCTGCAGCTGCTGCTGCAGCAGCAGAATAAACAGATCCAAGCTGTTTCTTTCTCTTGTTGTCTTTGGTATGCATTGTTGCTGCTGCTGCTGCTGCTGCTGCGGTGTCTGTACAGGTTGGCTGGAGCTCCCCACAAGGCCCGGCTGTCTCCTTGATGGATGCTGCAGCAGCTCTTGAGGGTCGAGGGCACCGCATATTGCCTGACGAGCTGCTGCTGCTGCTCTCATCCTTACAGCAGCAACAGCAGCAGCAACAGCAGCAGCAGCAGCAGGGGCAGCTGCTGTTTGATTCGCAGCAAGGGCTACTGTATGTACAGCCTCTTCAGGCAGCCCTGCAGCGGCACCTTCTCTCGTCACGCCCAGCTGCTGAAGATAGCAGCAGCAGCAGCAGCAGCTGTGCCAGTATGCGTTGTGATGGTGTTCTGCTGCAGCTGTTGCTGCTGCGTATGCGAGCGGTTGCTGCTCTACATTCGCTCGATGTGCTGCAGCTCTTTGCTGCTGTTTGCTGCAGCAACGCAGCAGCAAATAACCCAACAGCAGCAAACTGGAGGGAAGCACTTCAAGCCACACTGTGGGGCGTGCTTGGGCGTTGCTGCTGCTGCGACTGCAGCAGCAGCAACAGCAGCAGCAGCAGGGGACAGTGCGTGTGCGTGGAGGCTGCAGTGCAGCGTCTGATGCTGCATGCAGCAGACAGCAAATCCTTACAGGAGCTGCTGCTGCTGCAGCTGCCAGAGCTGCAGCAGCAGCTGCCACCTCTATTCTTGGGGCTGGGTTCCGAACAGCAGCAGCTACAACAACTGCAGCAGCTGCAGCAGCAGCAAGGATGCCGGGTAACTGCCGAGGAGTTTAAGGCCTTCTTCGCCCGCAGGGGCAGCAGCACAGCAGCAGAACTCTGGCTGCTGCTGCTGCAGCAGCAGCAGCAGGCTGGAGACGAGAGCAGCTACCCTCACACAGTAAGCAGCTTCACCGCGAGGCATTGTGTTGCTGTTCGTATTGCTGCTGTTGCTGCACTCGCCGCTGCTGCAGTTACCTTACGTGCTATTGCTGCAGTTGTTGTTGCTGCAGCTGCTGCTGGTGGGCTTTATGCTGGTTTTTTGGTGTTGCTGCTGCTGCTGTTGCTGCTGCTGCTGCAGGTCTCTTTGTCTGCATGCCTAGAACTCCTGGCTCTATTCATGGAAGATGCGCAGCAGCAGCAGCAGCAGCAGCAGCGTAGCAAGCTGCTGCTACATTTGAAGGCATCTCCTGAGGTTGCTGCAGCACGAACTGCGCTGCTCACATCCACGCAGCAGCAGCAGCAGCAGCAACTGGCTCGGCTTGCTGAAGCAGAAAGCATCCTCAGGCGCACTGCGCAGACAGCACGCCGACGCGCGCGAGCAGCAGCAGCAGCAGCAGCAGCAGCAGCAGCAGGGGGATCAGCTGCAGCAGCTGCAGCAGCAGACGAAGGTGCAGCAGCAGAAGGAATTGTAGGGCCTCTGTATAAGGCCCTAGCGTCTTCATACTGTCAGCACCATTTGCTGCTGCAGATCAGCAAGCCGCGCATAGTCTGCAGGGCAGCAGCAGCAGCAGCAGGTGGTGGTGCTGGTGCTGCTGCCTCAGGCCTTTCTGCTGCCTTCAGCATGCACTGCAGCTTTTTTGGATTCGATGAGCAGCTACACACGGAGTTTCCTGCAGCAGCAGCAGCAGGAACAGCAGTAACAGCAGCTGCAGCACCAGCAGAGGCAGCACCTCCAGAGCCGCTGCTGCTGCTGCGCTCCTCACTGCCGTCAGAGCTGCCAGCGCAGTGCAGCAAAAGCAGCAGCAACAACAACAACAGCTTCTGCTGCATCTCGGGAAGGGAAGCTGCTGGTGCCCTTCAGACGTTGCTGCGGCCGGACGAGTCGCTCCTTCTGCTGCGAGTACAGCAGCAGCAGCAGCAGCAGCAGCAGCAGCAAGATGGAGGCGAGTGCTGGGTGGGCAGCTTGCCGGTTAGGGTTTTGCTGCAGGCAGTGGAGGATGAAGATTCTGCTGCTGTTTTCTGGGGCTGCTGCTGCAGACGCGTGCTTCTGCTGCAGCGCCAAGAGGCGCCACTGCCGGGGGCTCCTTGCTTCA